AATTCCTTGGCCAAGTCTTTGCAACATTGGAAATGTGACTCTAATTTACTTTTCTCTCTTTTATCTGGTACTCCATGTGCTTCAGCTAGTTGGTGGGTGTGCTTACTGCCCGCTGCAGGCATGTGTGCAGTGTTTGCAAGAGCATGGGAGCTTGTCACCGGGAAAAGAACAGCTGACTGACTACAAACTAACTAGTCCACTACCTTTGTCTTGAAGATAGTAGAAATGCCTCTGCTTTAGTCTGAACTGACAGCAAAGGGTACTCTCTGGAGGAAAACAGCAGAGCTAGCCGCAAAGACAGCTTCTGGAAAGTGCTAGGAGAATACTGACTGTAACCAATTAAGAAAAAGGATTTAAGTCTCTGGGACAAAATCTGTGGATAAAATATCATGCCTCTGACAATCACAGTTACCTAAATATGGCTGTTATTCTGAGAAGCACACGTCTTAGATGGAATAGGGAGTAGAAAGAAAAATTCACAGAGTTCTGCAGGTAGGGTCCTAAAGACAAGCCAGGTATTTCCAGGTACATAGTAGATACACAATAAATATTTGTTAAACAAAATTCTGATCAAAGAGCAAATAAATGTCAAATGAATAACAAACTGAATGGTTTTCTAATCTCTGATTACAATGTTTTAGGGGTAAGCACATGAGTGTACTTTTAAATAAAGTATTAGAATTGTTTTTATGCCAGGCTACCTGGGTGGTGCAAACAGTTAATGTTCTTGGCTGTTAACTGAAAAGTTGGAAGTTCAAGTCCACCCAGAGGCACACTGAGAGAAAGGCCTGGCGATCCACTTCTGAAAAATCATCCATTGAAAACCCAATAGAACACAATTCTACTCTGACACACAGGGGGTTGCCATGAGTTACAGTTGACCTCTAAGGTAAATTGAACTGACTTGACAGAGCTTTCTTCAAGGCAGGGAATCAAGAGAATTCTTGTACCTTCCCAAATCCCCTCCTTATCTTGAGAACTAGGAGAAGCCGGCTAAGGCCTCCAAAGTTACCAAAAGGCTCATCTTGGTAGGTAGCAGGTGGGGACATCAGGTGAAAAGACTATCCCTAGAAGCCATTCTGAACTTTAAGACCACTGTTAACTAAGAGACTTGCAAGTTTACCACAAGCCCCTCATACTACAGGTGCTAGGTCCTCTTTTGTTTAGTCTCTTTATGCTATAAAGGCCAGGGTACGCAGGCCACAGTACTCTCAGTTAATGTCACAGGGTCTGTTTCTGAGCTACTTAGCATGCACAATCAAGAATTATTTCTCTTGTTGCTGATTTGACTTATAAGACACACTAGACAAATTTCAAATATATATATACACACACACATACATATATACACATACATATACACGTAACATCTCATGACCAACTTGGTCACTCTGGTTTTCTAAGCATCTACTCAGTGCCCACCACCATGGGGGCATTTTCCATGCTATATCTCTAACACTCCAACAATCCAACACAGCATGTACAATGGGCCCCACAGCCATGTACTATGAGCACTATGGCATGTACCAGCCCCATGACATGTACTATGAGCCGCCCAGCATGTACTATGAGCTGCCCAGCATATACTATGAGCCCCACAGCATGTACTATGAGTGAGCCTGATGGCATGTACACTGAGCCACACAGCATGTACTTTGAGCCCCACGGCATGTACCATGAGCCCTATTTTATGAGTGAGAAAAGGCCATTCAGGAAGGTAAGCAACTTCCCCAATGTTGCAAAGCTTATACGTGGCTGAGCTGGCATTGAAGCTTAGGTCTGCCAGAGTCCCAAACCTACCCTTTTGCACAGCAGTGCTCGGCCCCATATACCCAGCCCATCTTAATTTACATAGCAGATTACCAGTACTGGTATTGGATTTCTTCTCAGCAAGTGTACTCACAGCAGGGTGGACAATAGCCTTTCAGGATTGTACGGAAGCACCCAGAGGAAAGCTGAACTCATCAGAATCCCAAAGTCCTCGTAATGCTAGACCCTGTGGTCTCTGCTCTCACAACTGAGACAAGTTTATGAAGGATAACCACAGTGTGGATGTTCTCTCTCCAGGAAGAAACAGCTGCCTACTCACTAACAAAAACCTGGAGAGAGGCTTTCTCCCTCTTGTGTGGAAAAACCATGAGCTTTGCAAAGAAAAGGGCAGTGGACAAAGGCAAGGGTCAAAAGTAGGAGAAGGAAATGAGATAAAGGAGAAAAATGCAAGGCAGAATGAGAACCACAGTAGCGAATTCACATGGACAACAAGTCGAGTGACTGAGGGAAGTTATAGTGCAGGACAAGTGATGTGAGGGGTCCGGTAGGAAGGTGATGCCTCCTGTTTGGATGTGTGGTGGTTGCAATGGGCAGGAACACACAATCCCCACTGCAGCACAGACTCAGGGCAACTCTGCTCCTAATGGACTGCTGATTTCATTGAACACTGTGTATTAGTTTCCTAGGGCTCTGTAATAAATGACCACAAACTGGGTAACTTAAAGAGAAATTTATTCTCTCACAGTTTTGAAGGCTGGAAGTTCAAAGTCAAGTTGTCAGCAAGGCTGCGATTCCTCTAGAGGCTGTACAGGAGAATCCTTCCTCATCTCTTCTAGCTTCTGGTGGCTCCAGGTGTTCCTTGACTTGCGGCTACATCGCTCTAGTCTCTGCCTATGTCTTCACATGACCTTCTCTATGTCTGGGTCAAATCTTCCTGTCTTTTCTCTTATAAAGATACTTGCCCCTGGGCTGAGGGCACACCTGGATAATCCAGGGTAATTTCACAGTGAGATCCTTAAATTAGTTGTATCTGCAAAGACCCTATTCCCAAATAAGATCACATTCACAGGTTTTAGAGGAACATATATCTTGGGAGGCCACCATTCAACCCACTACACAGTGCATTCACTTATTCATTGACTCCACAACTATTGTTGAGCACCAATATGCATAAGGAACCGTGGAAAGTATAAAGATGAATCGGACAGAAATCCTGTCCTCAAGGAGTTTATAGCTTACTTGTTGTTGTTAGGTGCCCTTGAGTCAGTTCCAACTCATAGTGATTCCATAGGACACAGTTGAACTGCCCCACAGAGTTTCCAAGGAACAGCTGGTGGATGTGAACTGCCGACCTTTTGGTTAACAGCTGGAGCTCTTAACCACTGTGCCCCCAGGGCTCCTTACAGCCTAATAAGGGAGGCAAACCATAACATTTATAGCTGGACAGAAAATGGTGAGTGCCGAGAGAGGGACAGGGAAATAAATACAATACTACTGGAGCTTGGGGAGGCCAGAGATACGCTAGCTCGTGGGGGATCAGTGAGGAAGGATGAAGGGATAGTACTTCGTGGCATGCCTGTCATTTGAACTGGATCCTGAAGGACAGATAGCCTTTGGACATGTGGGAATGGAGCATCCTAGGAAGAAAGATTAGCATCAGTGAGGCCCAGAGACAGGAAAAGATGGGTGTTTACAGGCTGTTGTTGTTGCTGTGTGCTCTTGAGTCGATTCTGACTCATAGTGACCCTATAGGACAGAGTAGAACCCCCATAAGGTTCTGTAGGCTGTAATCCTTATGGGAGCAGACTGAAGGGCTTTTCTCCCTCGGAGCCACTGAGTGGGTTTGAACCACCAACCTTTCGGCTAGCAGCCGAGCACTTAACCATTGTGCCACCAGGGCTCCTTTTATTTACAGGGACCAGTAAAACAAACCAGTTGCCTTTGATTCTGACTCACAGTGACCCTATAGAACAGAGTAGAACTGCCCCATAGGGTTTCCAAGGAGTGGCTGGTGGATTTGCTGCCTATCTTTTGGTTAGTAGCTGAGCTCTTAACCACTGCGCCACCACAGGTATTGCTAAGAAATTCAGTTTGGCTAGAACACAGAGTGAGTGAAAGGTAGAAATGAGAGAGAAAGGTAGAAAGGTTGTCCTGGAACAGAACTGGTGGCCCTGAGTGGGCTTTTGGCAGTGGAGATTACAAGGGGGTTTGAACATGAATATAATATGATAAAAGCCTAGATTTGTGAAGATAGTATATAAAATACGTTATATATATGACTTGGTCTCTCATGGTGCCATAAAGAGCAACAGGAAATACAAGAGAAAGGTAAAGAAGGTAAGAAAATTGCATGAGCTCATTTGGAGACACGCTGAGTTAATGGAGGCTGCTTGAAACCTGGCAGAGAGGTTAGAACTGGAGACGTGGATTTGTGATTATCTAGACTGAGGTGGTCCTTGAAGGCAGGAGGTAGGAGGAGAATACCAAGGGAAAGTGAAGGGGAAGAGGGAGAAGGAGCCTCAGAGGTGATTTAGGGTAGAAGGAGAAAACAGAGCCAACAAAGGAATAATCAAAGATGGAGGGAATGAAATAGGAAAATGCTGTTATTAGAGTATCCGAGGGAGCAGGGGATCAAAGAGAGGGTCCTTCCTTGTATAAAATGCTGCAGAAAGATAGATGAGGACTAGGGAGATTCCACCAGGCCTGGCAGGAAGTTAGTCCTTGGAGGAAGCAGCGTCAGTAAGTTGTCTGAAGGCAGAAACCACATGTGGGTGGTAGAGAAGTGGAGATAACAAGCACAGACCACTCCTATGGTCTAAAAGAAAATGTGTGATGAAGGGAAAGAGACACATAATGGCAGTAACTTCAGGGTTCTTTTAATTTCTCATTCGTTTGGGAATTTTTAATGATTTCCAGATTTTAAAGCATCGACTGAATGCTAGCTCCATTTTGATGATAAACATGACAGAATTAAGTTCTTGGGGGACAGGTGGGAATGACACTATTAAGAGGCTTCTTTTTTTTTTTTTATTCCATTTTGACACATCCAACTCTATGCCATTAAGTCACAACATTTTTATCAAAACATAGAAACAACACAGACACTTTACAAACGTATAGTCAGAATTCTAATCAAACAAGAATGACTACCGCAAGTGACACACAGGGGCCTTTTATCTCGAATGATGCCCAAAGAGAGACTCATGAGTCATCAAACCATCAGTGGTGTATAATAAGGGATTGGTTTTCTTTTCTCTTTGAAGAATTATTCACTTCATTTCTTTTCTTGTTATAATGTGAGGATGATAATAAGGGACTGCCACCGACAACAGAAAACTAAAAATGGACGGATGGAAAGGTTTTATTGGTGGGAGTAAAATGACACTATCTTTGGTGGACCCTAAAATTAATTTCCATGTTGACAAGATAACCAGAGTGGGTGTTCTATTAAACCTCCTGTATTACTGACATGAACTCTTCCCATTTACCACTTTTCTCTTTCCTGTGAAGATCACTGCCAATCAAAATGAATGGGTTTGTAAATCTCAATGTCCAAGCTATGTTTATTGTGAAGAATGCCCAAGAAAACCTTGTAACTATTCAGGCCCACCCCCCTCCCACCCCCCGCCATTTACACACGTCCACAGATATGCACAGAACGGGTTAGTGGTTACTTAACTGCAGCTGAACGAAATCCACTATTACATGGGAAATGTGCTGTTTGAGTCTTGAGAAGTTTCCACTCAGTTTGCACCTTGCTTCATCAAGCCTTTCAATGATCAGCACATTGATCAGGGATTGAGAGCAGTATTAAGTGTTCAAATCTTTCACAGTGCGGAGAACCATCTTTCAAGTAAGTTACCATGGGTTGGGGTGTGCGGTGTCAGATTTGAACAGCACGGCCAATGACCTAACTTCAAGAGCAACCTTGAAAAGATGGCAGGAACTAAACCAAAGGGTTTCATCATTAGTGGAGTCAGTTTCTGCTACAGATAGTCACGTGAGGAGCTAAAAGGTCTCAGCCTTTATTGATGAGTGTTTCTTTTCTTTTCCAAGTTGAAAAAGGAACCCAGGAAGTGTCGCCTGAACCAATTCACAGAGAAAAGGCAAGTTCCTTCGTGTCTCTGGAGAGGAAGGATTCAGGATATCAGCCTCTCCATCCCTGGGTTAATGAAAGAAAAGTTTCTGAACATGTTCTGGTCCATACTGTTGATGAGTGCTCTGTCAGCGAATGACAGCCTGGGTTTCTCGTTCAGGAATTCTTTGTCGAAATTGCTGCAGTCATACGGTGATTTCTTGGTTAGAATTTAAGGGGGAAAAACAGGGAAGAAAGTCAGCCAGTAAACTTGTTATCTTAATTTTTGTTAGCTAGACTATGATCTGTGCACGACAGTGCTGGTGTTTGCAGATAAACTAAACTGAAGTTAACACGTTCGGATTATCACATATGGCTTTTTATCGTCTCTATGGTCCCGAGACATTTTATCTGTGGTGTTGTTGTTAGTTGCCTTCGAGTTGGCCCAACTCATGGCAAACCCTTGCCCAGTGGGATTGGACTGCTGTGATACATAGGGTTTTCACTGGCTGATTTTCGGAAGTAGATTGCCAGGCCTTTCTTCCTAGTCTGTCTTAGCCTGGAAGCGCTGCTGAAACCTGTTCAGCATCATAGCTACGTGAAAGCCTCCACTGACAGACAAGTGGTGGCTGTGCTTGAGATGGACTGGCTGGGGCTCAAACCTCGGTCTCCCGCATGGAAACTGAGAATTCTACTGCTGAACCTCCAATGCTCCTCTCCATTTTATCAACAAAACCAAAAACCAAACCTGTTGCCATCGAGTCAATCCCAACACACAGTGACCCTACAGGACAGAGTAGGACTACCCCCACAGGGTTTCCAAGGGACAGCTGGTGGATTCGAACTGTCAACCTTTTTTGGTTAGCAGCCGAGTGCTTAACCACTCTGCCTCCATTTTATCAATAGTATAATTAAATTCATAGAGTGGACTTCCACGGTATAAATTCAAATAAGATTTAATGTTTCTAATTTCTAGCTTACATGAAGCAGGGCTGGCAACTTTTGAAAAAGTGTTGAGACAGATTTGATCTCTGGTCTTTTAGTTTACTTGAGAGTGTGGGTAGGTAGGATTGGGGGGGGATGCAAAGGGGAGGGTAGAGGGAAGGAATTTTGCAGACTATATATTCTTTTTTTTTTAAATCAACATCCCTTGCTACCACTGGTTCCCTTAAAAACCAAAACCAAAACAAACCCATTGCCATCGAGTGGAATCCAACTCACAGCGACCCTATAGGACAGAACTACCCCAAGGAACAGCTGGTGGATTTGAACTGCCAACCTCTTGGTTAGCAGCCGAGCTCTTATCCACTGTGCCACCAGGGCGCCACTCAGAGAAAGGTCAGGGAAATTCCATTCTACTGGTGGATCAGAAATTGTCCTATAAGATAAGGTTAGATTTTTATGTGGAAAATATCAAGTCAGTTTTCACCTGAAGTAGAAGTTGAGGTATGAATTAAATTGTTCTGATTAGCTAAAATTAGGTAAAAATTCATTTTATCATAAACAAATTATTAATTCTCGTATTAGATATGGTACTATTACAAACAATAAGAGTACTAGAGATCAACCTGTAGAACCCCTGGAAAATCTCCAGACTTGGGACAAACGTTGAGAATGACCATCCAAACACTAGGAACCAGCCACTTGCTATGATGGCTGATGGCAGCAGCTGCTTTCTAGTGTGAACACTCTGCTGCGAAGCCCATGAGCCTATGCCATTCCCTGCAAAGAGACGGCAGAGACTGTTCACATCTACCTAGATGATTACTACCTTATTCTCCAGCAGTCTCCGGGGGGGGGTAAAGCTAGCAAATCCACCAACTTTGCTTTACTTCTCACAGAAATTTATTTTCTCAGAGTTTGTCATTGTTGGGTGCTGTCCAGTCGATTTCCACTCGTAGCAACGCACTGTGACTCAGAGTAGAACTGCCCTACAGGGTTTTCTAGGCTGCCATCTTTATGGAAGCAGATTGCCAGGTCTTTCTCCCATGGAGCCAATGGGTAGGTGTGAACTGCTAACCTTTCAGTTAGTAGCCTAGTGCTTAACCGTTTGTGCCACCAGGGCTCCTTTAAACTTTGCTTTACTTTTGTCTTCACTTCATGGTGGCCTGATCTGTATGTGACCCGGGTATTTCTGCCCTTCCAGCTATAGGTTAGTGACTTCTGCTAGTAAGTATATGCATGAGACTTTAGATGCCTATCTTCTTCTAAGTGTCAGTCTGCTACTTCCTCCTTCAACTGAAGAAAACCTAAGAATTGCCAGCAGAGAGTGTAACTGTGTGAACAAATTACAAACCTTAGGTCAACTTTAATAAATATCGTGGGACAAAAATAATGACTTCAAAATTCCTGAACTAGGACACAGGGTTTATGTACAAGCCTGGGTCTTGCAAAGTGTGACTATTAATTACATATGTATGTATCATGTACATGTGATAGTCATGGTTGCATACACACATGTTCAGCCCAAGGCATGTAGATTTAGCTATTCATTCTGTGTTCAGGTACATGTTGACATAGAGGTCAAATTTTGCTAACAAGAATAACATCTCCCCACACCCTCCACCAGCCAAACAGCCAGAGTTATAGTTAAAGAGTCTCTAGGTGGTGCAAACAGCTAATGTGCTCAGCTGCTAACCAAAAGGTTGGAGGTCAGAGTCCACCCAGAGGGGCCTTGGAAGAAAGGCCTGGTGATTTACTTCTGAAAAATCAGCCATTGAAAACCTTATGGAGCCCAGCTCTACCCTGACACACAAGGGGTCACCACGAGTTGGAGTTGACTTGACACCAACTGTTTTATGGTTAAAAAAATAGGTCCTTCCAATAACTACACTGGCCATGTGCTAGGACCCTGGAGTCTGGGGATGGGTGGGAAGTCAGGGCTTGGGGCAGGAGTGAGGAACAGCCTTGCAGTTACTAGGACAGGTAGGCAGTCTGTGAGTAAAGGGAGAATGGCTGAAAAGAACTGCTCCCCATGGATGAGTCTTACCACTTTAGGCTTGAAAGGTGGTTCTATCTCCTTTCTTTCAAGTTCTTCCCAATTGATCTCCCGAAACAAAGGATGCTGGCGGATGTCTCCCCTCACTCCCAACCTCTTTTCAGGTTCTCTCACAAACAGCTGAAAAGGAGCAGAAAGAGAGCAGTTGACTTCTCAAGGGACTAGCCAATCAGCATCAGGTGGATGTCTCATTTCTTAGTGTATGAGCCACTTGCATTTGACTCTGAAAGGATAAAGTTCCGACTTTATGGCTTTAAATTGGAAGCTTCTGACCACTTGCTTTTCTAGTCTTATTTTCTGACTTACCTTTATAAACAATTGACTGGAGCCAAACTGGGCACAATACTCTCCCCTGAAGGAGCCTCTCTGAGTACTCCTGAGTCCGGGCTTTTGCTTCCTTCCTCTTTGTCCTAGAAATGCTGTCTTTTGAGTTACATAGACCTGGTTTGAAATCTTAGCTTTGCCACATATTAGTTATGTCACCTCTGGCAAGTTACAGAATCCTCTGAGTCACAGTCTCCTCACCTAGGAAGTGAGCCAAGTGTCCTACTCACAGGCTGTTCTGAGGATTAAATGAAATGACAACACACACACACAGACCTACATACACACAACACATATGCACACCACACACACACACACACACCACACACCACAAACATTTGTGCACTATATTTAGTCTGTAAAACCCAACAACACAGAGTAAGGGATCAACTTGTTATTTGATTGCCCATTAAGCAAGAGTTGATTTCTTACAGAGCTGCCTTTTTAGGATTACTGGCATTGAGGGGACTCTAGCTATAAGGAAAAACTTACTTTGGGCATAATATAAACTAGTTTCAGGCAGTTAGCTTTGGATTTTACAAGTCTGAGTATCAAGAATCATTCTTGACTCCTGAAAACCTGCTGGGTAAGTCATACTTAATCCAAAGGCCATCTTTTACAGTCTCTGAGCTGTTACATATGTATTTTCCTCTTTGCACTGTCCCTTCTGTTAATCTCTCTCATGAGGTCTAAATGAACATTTGCAAGGACAGAAAAAGAAACTCTGAAACTCTACAAACTTAAATAAAACATGTCAAGGGCATTAAGGAACAGGAGAGTCTAAACATTAAGCCTAGAAAAGTAACAGGTCCCCTGGGTGTCTGAAGTAGTGATCCTTCTTACATCAGCTAGATGTTTATTTATAAAGCAGCCACTAGTTACAATAAAGTGTTTACAAGGAGGCTATGGATCTTTAAAACACAAAACTTGAAATGCAGTGATTTTCCAAAGGTTTTGGCAAAGAATTGACCTCCATCTGCACTTAAATTCCAGGAATCTCTTATACAAATAGCCAATCTAATTGTTCTAAAACACTCCTTTACTTATCTTACAACTTGAAAATCTTCAAAGACTCTCCTCTACCAAAAAAGCAAAGACAGATCAGCACGCTATAGGGTGATGATTTGCAAAGCAGAGATTTTCTTTTCTTTTTTTTAAATGTCTTTTAAAATTCCAAGTGAGAAGATGCTACCACCTAGTCTACCGAATTGGTAAGTCAGACGGACTTCCTCTCTCCCCACTTACCCTGTGGCCATGAGGATTCTCTAGGGAAACTTGGGGTTCCAAAGCACCAGGTTAGAAAACCACTGTCACCCAAGAGTCTTACTACTCACTTGGCCTTGGGTAAGTTTTCTGAGTCTCAATTTCCTCATCTGTAAAATGAAGCATCAGAAAAAATGATCTCCAAGTCCCCTGTGAGTTCTAATGTCCTCTGAGCCCCTAGATCGGCACTCAAAGCTCTCTGTAGTCTGATGCTGACCCTGTGCCCTTTGGTTTCCAAAGTAACCCTCTCCTCTGTTCAGACATGCCTACTCACTGACTATACCACATACCTTTCCTACCTCATGACATTTCCATCTTGTAAGGAGATTCCTCTCCCCATATTCCGTTTCCATCTCCTTCTCCTCAGCTTTAAATACTGCCCCATCTTTCAGGGGTCAGCTTACATCGCACCTTCTTTGTGAAGCTATCTTTGATTACATGTTGAGTTCTCCCTCCTCTTAAAGTCACACTCATGCTCATATGATTCATTGCACCATTTATTCCAGCAAATGTTCTTTGAGAGTCGGGCACCATGCTAGATGACTCATAATATCATCCTGATTTTAAAAACAAAATCTAAAAGCAGGTATTGTTATCCCAACTGTCAGTTGAGGAAACTGAGGCTCAGAGTAGTTAATAAGTAACTTATTCAAGGCCACTGTCATGGATTGAATTGTGTCCCCCCAAAATATCTGTCAACTTGCTAGGTCATGATTCCTAGTATTGTATGATTGTCTACTATTTTATCATCTGATGTTATTTCCCTATGTGTTGTTAACTCTATCACTATGATGTAATAAGATGGATTAGTGGCAGTTATATTGATGAGGTCTACAGTATTAGCGTCTTAAACCAAACTCTTTTAAGATATAAAAGAGAGAAGTGAGCAGGGAGACATGGGGACCTCATACCACCAAAAAAGCAATGCCGGGAGCAGAACTCATCCTTTGGACCTGAGGTTCCTGGGCTGAGATGCTCCCGGACTAAGGGAAGACTAATGCATCACAAGGACCTTCCTTGAGAGCTGACAGAGAAATCCTTCCCTTGGAGCTGATGCCTTGAATTTGGACTTGCAGCCAACTAATCTGTGAGAGAACAAATTTCTCTTTGTTAAAAGCCATCCACTTGTGGTATTTCTGTTATAGCAGCACTAGATGACCAAGACAGCCACAAATCCAGGAAGTGGTAGAGTCTAAATTATAAGCAGCCTCTTCCCCACTCTGGTGTTAAGTCTCTCGTCTGTGTTCCAAAGAATATTTTCCCTCCGTTAGAGAAATTAGCACATTGTATTTTTTCCTGTGTCTGTTTTCCTACTAGACTGTAAGCTCTAGTGGGTAGACACCAGTTACGTTTCTGTTTCTTACACCACCTAGCACAGTGCCAGGCACAAAGTACATGCTCGATAAATGTTGGTTACGTAGATGAATAAGCTGTCTTTCCACTTTGTTTATCTGCAGTATCACGTGTCTCGTATCCTCATTCATTATCCTCTTGTTTTTACCATATAGATAGTCCCGGCTTTGGAAAGAAGAGCCATCAAGTTCACAGTAAAATGTGTTTTTTTCTATAGACGAAAGAAGCCAGTATGAGTTAACAGGTGGAAAGGTGGACTCATTTTTGAGAAGCAGAGGGGATAAGTGACTCGGCCCTTATTTCTTCCCTTGAACTGATCATAATAAATGATTGATCTCCTCTTCTTAAGAACATTTTGATGAGAATATTAGGCAGATGATATAAGTGCATCAAGAACAGACCAAACACTAGCTAATGTTATAATTAAATGCTTCAGGGAATTAAGTTAGAAGTAAGTGCCTTGGGCCAAGTGTACACCATGCTAGGTTTTCCATTAGATTTTTTCAACAAACACATGACATTTATATCCTAGGATTATGACAAAGAGCCTTCTGAGTTTGGTATAGACACCTGTGAAATTTAAAGAATGTATTTAAAAAACAAAATTCATAAGAAGAAAATAAGATTGATCTCATTTCCAGATTCAATATTCTTTGTAGTTTTACACAGAAGAGTTAGGTATTATCGATCTTCTTTGCCCTGCAGTCAATCACTCGCTAGAGTTCCTGAGACCTCGAAGGAGACTCAGATCAGCAGTTCTGTGGCAGGGATGCTGCATGGAGGAAATAAATGTTCATGAAGAAAGACGTGCTTTTGTCCATAAAAGCTGTCAGAAGAGTAGTTTACATTGATAGGAAATAGCACACCTCTTACACAAATGGCCAGGATGTAGCTGGAGTTTGTTTAAATTTATTCAACTGTCTGGGCAAGAAAGCTCTTCCAGGCTGCTGAGCATTGCAAGCTCTTAGCACCTGTCACTGGTGACAGGCTATACCTGGAATATTCTCTCCCTCTTTGTCCCCTCCCTAGATATATCCTTCTATAAAAGGAAGAAGTATTTCTGTTCTAGATCATTAGTTTTCCATCACTTTCCAAACAAATGGACAGGATATCCTGGGTGACTAAATGAGGAAGAAATGGGAGTTTATTTGGCAGCAGTGACCTGGACAGCAGAGTCCCAGCTATAATTCTTGATGGGTCACAGCCTCCTCTGATGCACAAGCGTCTACTTTGGTACATGCATCAATGCCCCATGAAGGCTCAAGGAACAGAGTCTGGTACTGATGCCGCTGAAATGGATGCTACTAGATGCTGCTTTGTCCAATGTCCAACCCTCCCAGAGGACCCGTTACTTCTGGGGTTCATATCATTCTGTAAAATTCCCTTGAGGGAGTTTCTGAGAAAGAGTATTACCTTGAGTTTTGCAGAAAAGGGGGCTCAAAGATGTAGGGGCTGTTGGCTCAAAGTTACAAAGCAAATAAGGAGCAGAGATGAAACTAGCAAACAGTCTTATGGCCAGTATAATGGACACTAATTTTTTTTTTCTTATTGTGCTTTAGGTGAAAGTTTACAGCTCAAGTTAATTCTTCATACAAAATTTATACACATATTGTTATGCGACCCTAGTTGCAATCCCTATAATGTGACAACACACTCCCCCTTTCCACCCTGGGTTTCCCGTGTCCCTTCAACCAACTTCTATCCCTTTTTGCCTTCTCATCCTGCCTCCGGACAGGAGCTGCCCATTTAGTCTTGTGTATCTACTTGAACTAAGAAACACACTCTTCACTAGTATTATTTCAAAAGGGCCACATAAACCAGAGACTCCATCAGCCTGAGACCAGAGGAACTAAATGGTGCCTGGCTACCACCAATGACCACCCTGATAGTGAACACAACAGAGAGCCCCTGATGGAGCAGGAGAAAAGTGTGGTGCAGAACTCAATTTCATGTAAAAAGACCAGACTTAATGGTCTGACTGAGACTAGAGGAATCCCAGAAGACGTGGCCCCCGGACTCTCTGTTAGCCCAGAAGTAAAACCATTCCCGAAGCCAACTTGGACACTAATTTTTACCAGCCCAATTGCTAGAATTCAGGAGAGAACTACCTTCCCTGTGGAGAAAGGACATGGAATTTTTACCAACCTGACAGAAATAATAAGCTCAAATTCTTCTATGTG